AGTAACCCAGCCCTCAACCCTTCACATGTATTACATCAGACAGTAACCCAGCCCTCAACCCATCACATGTATTACATCAGATAGTAACCCAGCACTCAACTCATCACATGTATTACATCAGACAGTAACCCAGCCCTCAACCCATCACATGTATTACATCAGATAGTAACCCAGCCCTCAACCCATCACATGTATTACATCAGATAGTAACCCAGCCCTCAACCCATCACATGTTTTACATCAGATCGTAACCCAGCCCTCAACCCATCACATGTATTACATCAGATAGTAACCCAGCCCTCAACCCACCACATGTATTACATCAGATAGTTACCCAGCCCTCAACCCATCACATGTATTACATCAGATAGTAACCCAGCCCTCAACCCACCACATGTATTACATCAGATAGTAACCCAGCCCTCAACCCATCACATGTATTACATCAGATAGTAACCCAGCCCTCAACCTATCACATGTATTACATCAGATAGTAACCCAGCCCTCAACCCATCACATGTATTACATCAGACAGTAACCCAGCCCTCAACCCTTCACATGTATTACATCAGACAGTAACCCAGCCCTCAACCCATCACATGTATTACATCAGATAGTAACCCAGCCCTCAACCCATCACATGTATTACATCAGATAGTAACCCAGCCCTCAACCTATCACATGTATTACATTAGATAGTAACCCAGCCATCAACCCATCACATGTATTATCTTACCTTGAGTGATGGCTTCGGCGACGTGCTCTGGGTCGTGCAGATAGTCACACAACGACATCAGCGCCCTCTGTCGAACCAACAGGTTGTCATCGTGAAGCTCTCTGTTCTGTTTTGGACAACCATTAGTATTAAGTTGGGCCACAACCTCCTGCAGCTTATATTTCTACAGGAGGCTGTGGTTGGACAAACTGTACAGCACATCGGCGACCGGGTCGCCCACTGGCTTGCCGATAGATGACTTCGTCGCCAAAAGGGACAGTAATTGGGACTGACTTCTTTGACCGAATCAAAACTGTAGAGTCCTTTTCAGGGCTCTTGGTGACGTGCAATGCTAAACCCTTTTATCTGCGGCAACTAACCTGGTCACAATTATAACCTGAAGCTTACTCTTCGGGGATGCTGGTTGGACGCGACAATTTTTCTCAAGCAAGGCAAGGAAGCGAGCAATGTATCTTACAGGTCAACTACAGCTTTTGTTGTCTGATGCATAATTTTACTAGGCTGTTCTGTCGCCAGTAAATCTGTCATTATATACTTAACGGTAAGACGCTCATACCCATGTCGACATCAACCTAAAAAATATCTCGTAAAACTCGCATGTCACTGATTTGGAATACTGTTATTTCGTGATAGTGAAACTGGGTTCACAAACTCTAAGCCACGAACTTCGACAACGGTCAGTAAAACAAAATATTGATTACAAAGAAATAAACCCTTTCTCAAACTGAGGTAGACGGCGTAGCACAGTGGCTCACACTTATGCTTACCTGGGCGACGGAACCTGGGGACTTGAGCACCTTGTCCACGTTTTAGGGTGCTACCTTTTCTTTGGAGTTAACATATGCGTGAGGCGCTAGAGGTTGTCAAGGCCTTTTGGGAGCCAGTGAACTGTACCGATTCACAGTTAAAGTATGACTGGGTACAGCTGGGAGTGACCGGGGGATCTAGCTAACACTGCATTCTCACAGTCAACAACAGACATGCAATCAGACTATTACCGGTGCTATCGGAGTAGGAACTTTTTGCTGGCTGCTGAAGAGGGGACGGAGGACATATGGGAATGTCCCGTGTGCTGTGATGTCGGATCTTGAAGCTCAGTTAAATTCAATTTTGGAGTGATTAAAGTGGGTGGAGACAAGTCAAGTTGCATGGATATCACAGGTTTACTAAAATACTCAATGTTGAATTAAGAATTGACATCTCAGCACTCCGACGCTCCCATAAGCGCTCCATCCCCTTCTTCAGCAGCAAGCGAAGAGTTCAAACTTCCATGGCACCAGTAACTGACTGACTGTATATCCGTCTCGCCTTTCTCTTGAGTGTTGAGCATCTGCCAGATCCCGTGATGGTAGCGTCATTCTCCTCAGACTGAGGATTTATTTATGCCTCCGCAAAGAGTCCTCACGACATCTAGCTTGTCAAACATCAGTTCAACACCAAGTGGTGTTACAGTATTGAGTTGAGTTGAGTCAAGAATTGACAGCACAGCACTCAAGGCATTCCCTTGTGTACTCCGTTCTCAGCTTCAGCAGCCAGCGCAGAGTTCCAGTACTGATGGTACCGGTCACGATCTGGTTAAATGTCCGTCTTGCCTTTCCTCTGAGTGTAGTCAGCAGGCCAGAACCTCTGGTTACACCCAGGTGCCTCATTCTCTCCAAGCCACAAAAATCTCGTTTCTCTACTGATTCCGTTGCTTGTTGGTGCTACAGTACTGGCGAGGCTTAGTGCTACGGGAAGATACACATTGTCCCTGGCCTAAAACAT